TGGGAAAGGGGGTGGGGTGGGGGAGAGATCTGGCTATTAAAACAAAAAAGACCAAACAAAGACAAAACAAAATAATTTTCAGAAAATTAAAATTTTAAATTTCATTTCACTGTTATAAGGGTACAACTCTTGAAACTACACCCGCACACAGAAAGTAGAAAGACAGTTTAGACCTGAAAAAAAATTAAATAATTAATCCGTGGTTACCTCCATGAAACGTATAGGACTTCAAAGAAAACACCCTGGCAAGCATTCAACGGCAAACTTCATTGCAGCCAACCATTCACAACAGGCAAACAAAAACAACACCTTAGTTTCAGTTAGTGCTTTACGGCACTTGCAACACAATAAGGTCATATAAGTGCCGAGGATTAGAGGTGTTACAAGAGAGTAACAAACACACCAAAAAAAAAAAAAAAAAACAATAGATGTTTGATAGGAAAGAAGTAGCAAACCACACCAGAGCACCGGCCAACCACACACACACACACACACACACCCACACACAATTTAAAAAATACAGGAACTCCATCTGCATCAAATCAGAGTGGGGAAAGTTCAGCCAGGCATGGTCTCTATCAAGTTGGCGGACGGAGATAAGGTCAGTGCACAGCGGAACGTTAGGACAACTTTGCCCCGGAAATGATCGTTCAGCGTCAGGGGAGGAGGACTCAGCAATGATCCAGTAATGGACGGCGGCGGGTACATCATTAGCGCCATGACGTGTCTATGAGTGTGAGTGGAGGGAGTAGATTTATGTGTGGGAGGGTTTATGTAAGTAGGGTGTGACAATGAAAGTGACAGTAGCTTTTGTTTCTCAGAATGTGTGTGTGTGCGAGTGTGCGTGTGCGTGTGCGTGTGTGTGTGTGTGTGTGTGTGTGTGTGTGTGTGTGTGTGTGAGAGAGAGAGAGAGAGAGAGAGAGAGAGAGAGAGAGAGAGAGAGAGAGAGAGAGAGAGAGAGAGAGAGAGTGTGTGCCTGGGAATTCGCCAAAGTCCGTGAACTCAGGCACGTATTCATAATTATAGTGAACCTGTTGCGAAACACACACAGACGCACATAGAGGCTTACGCAAAGTTGAAAGTCAAAAAGTAAATCTGAATAAAAAAGAGTTGGGCGAGAGAGAGAGAGAGAGAGAGAGAGAGAGAGAGAGAGAGAGAGAGAATGAGAGAGAGAGAGAGAGAGAGAGAGAGAGAGAGAGAGAGAGAATGAGAGAGAGAGAGAGAGAGAGAGAGAGAGAGAGAGAGAGAGAGAGAGAGAGAGAGAGAGAGAGAGAGAGAGAGAGAGATAGATCTCTGTAACTGCCACAGGTAGCAAGCACACTTAAACAAACGTACAGCTTTCGTATACACGCAGAATGCTCTATTTCTATCCGAGCACATTGCTATCGGCGCATGGCCAGAACATTCACACACTGGTTCAGAATGTTTGCCTATTTACTCGTTCGTGTTTGCGTATTTTCTCAAAGGAAGCCGCGGACAGCTCTCCACCTGAGGGGTTTCTTGAGTTTAATATGAAGCAGCAATCACAGGCAAGAGCTCTGTTTTATTTCCTGAATGTCTTCAGAACAACCCCCTCCCCCACAGCCCTAAAAATGGGAATAAACGCACCAGTGAGCTGATTGTTTACCTGCTACAGACAGCACCTGCTCCCCCCCCCCAATCGTGTCCGTTTGTGGACGTGACGACAGCATTATTCAACTATAATTGGCTTCGTCTCAATCGTCGTTTATGCCACCAGTTACAGTCAGTGCCTGCAGTATTAACAATTTATGCTGTAGATATTGATTAAGGTCCATCCCCATGTTGTTTTAATTTAACCTGAACGCAAAACGTTTAGTATTTCAGAGAAGTAAGTTACAGCTAAAAACTGTATAATTCAAATCAATTATAATATATCAAGGCATGAATCAGCAGTGCGTGACTTGACCAATTAAAAAAACAACAACCCCTACCTGTAAACGCAAGTACTGAGGCACCCGTTCACAAAATACTACCAAAACAGATCTAAATAAAATTCCCCCCCCCCCCCACCAAAACACACTAAAACAGAGCTAGTTTCGGTAAAAATTTTACGGCACTTGAAACACTATATGGTCACATAATTGCCGAAGATTAGAGGTGTTACAAGGAGTAACAAAGGAGGAGAGTTCAGAACAATAGGTGTTCGATAGGGAAAAAAAGGAGCAAACCATACCAGAGCACCCACCAACCACCCATAAACGCAGCTAGTAAAACGTAAAATCATCCCCAAATGCAGCTCACCCCCCCCCCCCCCCCTCTATTTTTCTTTTTTCCATTCTGGACGTGTCAGATTGCAACATCAGCAAGGATCTCAAAATATTTGCCTGGACCACACTCCGCCTGCCCGGAAGACACACACACACATGTGACCAGCAAGCGACACATGCACCTGTCATACTTTTCAACCCCACAGTGTCAGACAGGAATGTCACGCTCACCTCCTATCCCCAGGAGACAAAATAGCCACTGACCACCATGAGCGTGCGCGCCTAGTCATACAGAAACTTACGCCCCAAACTGTTAGTGAATCGACGAGCACGCAAAGAGCTAGGTATATATATATATATATATATATATATTTATGAACGCCACAAACACGCGGGCCAATTTTGAGTTTTAGTAAGAGTTTAAAAAAAAAGTTTTAGACCTAATAAGAGTTTTACGGCACTTGCAACACAATAAGGTCATATAAGTGCAGAAGAATAGAACTGTTACAAGAGAGTAACAAACTTAAAACAGAAGGAGGAGAGATCAGAACGATAGATGTTCGATAGGAAAGAAGTTAAGGAGCAAACCACACCAGAGCACCCGCCAACCATCCACTAGTAAGAGTTTTACGGAATAGCGACACAATAAGGTCGAATAAGTGCCGAAGAATAGAGGTGTCACTAGAGAGTTACAAACACAAAAAAGGAGAGATCAGGACGATTGACGTTCGATAGAAAAGAAAGAGAAAACCACAGCAGAGCATCCACTAACCACCCACGACAAGTTTGAGTAAAGGTGAGGAATCCAAAAAAGACAGATAGTTTTTTAGTTTTAGTACAGGTTTTACGGCCCTCGCAACTGCATAAGGTCATATGAGCGTCAGAATATTAGAGCTGTTACAAGAGAGTAAGAGACAAAAAAATAAAAAAGAAGGGGAGATAAGGACGATATATGCTTGATAGGAAAGAAGAAGCAAACCACACAGGAGCACCCGCCAACCACCCACCAAAAAGACAGACACGCCAAAGCGTTGAATCTTTAACTGAAAACTACGCCATGGTAAGAGAAGAGCACCATCCTATGTTGTATGTCGTACATATATGTTTTACACCTCAATCGACACAATTTAGAACATTTAGGCGGCGGGCTGCTTGCACCCATTCTGTCAAAGCCTGCCTTGGCTGAGTGGGGCATGCCCTAATAAAAAAAGACGGCAATACTCAATAAAACGTCTCACCGGCGGGAATCAAACTCTTGGCTTTGGAGATACAGAGGAACAGTCGTGAAAAGGATAAAGACAGGAAGTCAATAGAGTGGGTGGTTGGCACAGAATGGTGGTTGGCTAATGCACTAGTATGGTTTGCTCTCCTTCTTTACCATCAAGTATCTCTCGTTCTTATCTCTTCTCCTTTTTTGTGTTTGTTACTCGCTTGTAACACCTCTAATATTCGACACTCACATGGCGTAATAGAGTTGCAAGTGCCGTAAAACGTTTACTAAAACTAAATTAAGTCAAAACCACAGGCCATAGCAAAGTCTGAAGTGTCCTTAAAACAATAACATCGTCACGCGAAAACAACAGATACATCGCTATAAAAAAAATATAAAAAACCAACAACAAAAAAAAAACGTTCGCATTCTAAGTACAGTAATGTGACAGGGATGCTTTCAAAGCTATACTCGATAATAATAATAATAACAATAATAATAATAATAATTATTATTATAATAATAATAATAATAATAATAATAATAATAATAATAATAATAATAATAGAAAGATACATCGCATTTATATCTAATGCAAATTCCCGATCAATAACGAGCTCTATGCACTTTACAATCTACCTATCATTACCTCAGTAGACCCGATAGCATAGCATTCTGAAACAATCTCAACTTCCTGGGAAGTGTAGAGTGCAAACTGTCATTTTACAAGAGCTAAAACACTTACATACTCATTAACGGTTTTCCTTGCAGCGAACTCGTGACCCAAGAGGGGTTCCTTATAATGCAGATACGCCTGATCTAAGCTCTAGAAGAGGTACAAATCCATAAGGGTCAAAATTGTTCGCTTGTTTCAGTAAAGAGAAGCGCACCGAGACAAAACAATCATATGGGGCAAAGGGGAGGGGGGGGTAGAACGGATACAGATGCTGACAGAAACAACAAAATAAAACAACAAAAGTGCAAGCTGTTACTGGAGCTCTCCTGCCACCTGCGCGATAAAAATTACTCATTTTAAATCACTTTTAAAGTTCAAATGTGTACATATGTGAATGATAGTATTTTTTGGCCTTTTGTGTTTCATTCATTCCCTTGCTCCTTCCTTTTTTTCTACTCAAATGGGTGTATTTTGACAATACTGGAAAAGTCAACGCCAAAATCTAATCAGTTGAGTAAATTAATGTGCGAGTGTCACACGACACGCCCAGCTGTGATGTTGAATATGTACATCAATAATGAAACAACATTAACCGCTCGCTAATGGACATTTTCTGCTCCGCGTAGCACCAGTGGACAAAGCCAGTAGTTAAAAGATGGGTACATATCACGACCAGCACCGCTGTTTTAATACATGTCATACCAGGAAACAATGTGATCATGTGGGATTTTGAACAAGTCTATGGTGTTAGTGTTAACTGTTAACACCCAGAACCTTCACTGTAGTTCAGGTAATCAAAATTGTCACTGTGGCTCTAATCTCCAAGCTTAAATAAAGAACGGTTATTAAAGACAAAACAGCAGGTCTGTTTAGTCGTTACTTGTTTCTCAACTAAGAGACGACTTTATGAACTCAAAAGTGGTGAACGTTTCCTTTCATAACACGCTGTCATGGAATCCGTGTTCTAGTTTTCTATGAACCGTAAACCTCTGCAGGATGTTTTATAAGATTTTACTGATCAAATAGATTTCAGAATGAACAACCTTTTATTCACACACCGCAATATCACGATACCTACATACGGAACGCGCGTACTACATTCGGTTACTCAGAGACGCAGGTACATTTTCTGTGCGAAATTTTTTAATTGCATATTATTATTCTGGCAAACTGACAGAAAAAAGGACACGTTCCATGAGTAAGGCGTTGTGCACGCTCCGATGCGTCTTATTTGACACGCCTTGAAATTGTTCGAAGGGCAAAAAGGGAAAATAGGGTTGTTGACACATAAAAAAATAACTTTAGGGACGATTTTTAAATGTCCTGTTTATGGCGGACAGGGTATATGCTGCCAGTGCGTTTGTGAAAGAAACTGTTCCTCCTCTCTTTGGCATGTGGTTTGTGAGCAGTAGGGAAAGCATCCGAGCCAACGTGAATGTGTACGCAAAATGTTTTTCTTATTGACAGTGATGCGGTCTTGACAATAGTGTGGAAAACGTGATCTTTGAGTCTTTTTGTAAACGTGGCAGAGAAAAAAAGGACTTTAGGTACAAAAATGTAAAACATGACACAGAAGACTGGAACAATACACTGTGTTCAACTCTTAATACACACACACATAAACACACTAATAAACACTACCAAACAGACGTCCTTACAAAAGCATTTAAAAAACATGAGAAGTAACTCTTTTTAGTGCATGTAAGTGACGGATGGCAAGACAGAAGTATTGACAAACATGTAGGCAAATACGCCCAAGAACAGAGAACAGCAGTGACTCCAGGACCTGTGGTCCCGATCAACAGGCTTGATGAGCCAACGCAAAATAAAATCTCAAAAATTGACTTTTCAGGACGCTCATTTCTGCTACACTAATCCATTCAGCGGTGGGTAATCACCCCTCTACTAGGCCTCTGTGGCTTATATCACGTGATGGAAGGACAACATGTCAACTATGTGAATAGTGGAAAAAAGAAGATAAAATAGATAAGTTGGGCCTTACAACAACAGCCCATGTTTGCATCAGTGATGAAAGAACACAAGTATTTACAAACAAGGGAATAAAATTACAACGCATACAAGTACCTTCTAACCTTCTATTATTGACACCAACAGCTATAAAAACGGGAAGGACTATCTATACAAATGGAATCAACAATAAGATCTGTAACAGCACTACTATAAAATAGCAATAATAACCCCCCCCCCCCCCCAAAAAAAAAAGAGATTAAGCTTAGCATAGGTTTGTGCTTCTGATCTGAGAATAAGAAGAGTCAAACATAACAACAGAATACACAAAACAAGTTAACGATCAAATGGAACAATTGTCATCTAGACAAAAACCACCCTAGGGGCAGTCCATTGATTCACCCTCTTCCACTTTAACAATATATAGTGAAGAAGAAGGAACTCCATCATCCTCCACTCCCTTGGCCGGGGGTAAAAAGGAAAGCATAAGTTGCCCCAAAGGGAGATGGGACACTGGTAGGATCACATTTTTACTTAACCAAATGCGATGAGCTTCACAGCAAGACGAAACCTTTTGTCCATGACAGACAATGAGAACAATACATTAAGACCGGGTCGTTCTCAGAAAGGTGAGACTTCCTCAAAAACGATACTGATAATCTGCAACCAGAAGAAACTTAGTACAGAAATCGGGCCATTCTTTTGTTGAAAACAATCCACGAAATCGTTGAGATGGCACCACTTTAAATTACATAAGCACAGCAAAAGAAAAAAAATATTCCACTTTTTTGTTGTTGCTGAAATTCACTGAGAGGACAAGCTTTGGTATTCGTCTACAGGAAATGCATCCAGGCTGTTTCACTCTCAGTAGGTACCGTCTTCGCGAAACACTCAAACATATAGTTCCTCCCTTCATTGTTGTCCCAGTACTCCATGCCTCCTGCGTTGAAGGAGACTGCGAACTGCAGCCTGCAGCCCGGCACGAAGAACGGTGGCGCCACGATGCTGAAAGAGAAGCGGTCAGTGGGGCCATCGCAAGAGTTCTGGACATAGCTAGCCGCAATGTCATGGAAGGTAGCCCAGTCATTGTGCGTGTAGCGCACACGAACTGACTTGTGGAAGGCGATGTTCGCCACGCGCACAAAGCCCGTGATAGTCACGTCAGTGATAATGGCGTTCTCTAGACAGACTTTCTGACTGGCAACTCTCTGGAAAAAGTTGTCGGACGCCCCTGGCTGGCAGAAGCAGGGACACAAGTACTTGGCACCCACCCCTTTCCGGTCCTCGTTGATACCAGCGCGTAGATCTGCCATGGCAGACGCGGGAATCTTCGGGGGAGACTCCATGTTGAGAACGTGACGCACAGACTCTAAATCAAGGCCCATTGCGTCGGCAAAACGCACTACTTTCTTTCGATGCGGAGTGCCCGGAGGAGTTTTGTTAGTTTTCAGTGATGAAGATTTCCTCAGTGCTACGCGACTGAAGTTGAACTCGTTGTCAGGGTACACTGGGCTATCACTAAACGCAGTTCTAGACGAGGAAGACTCGAGCTTCTGCTCTGCGGCGCCTTCCGAGTCAGCATCGGTGATCTTAATCTTCAGCCCAGAGGTGCCTCTCAGTGGCGAACCGCGGCCTACTGTGGCGAGTCTAGGCTTTGGACTCTCTCCCTCAACCACCTCCTGTGACAAAGCCTCAGCCCTATTCTCCTGGGTGGGCGAGTTGTCTTGAAACATGCTGATCTTAGAGAGGTCCGACGCAGCCCGGCTAATGGCTTCCTCCAGCGACATTTTTCGAGCGGGCCCTCCACTACTCTCATCCTCCAAATCGCCTTCGTCAGGGCTGAGAAACACCGAGTCCTCGCTGACGAAAGTATCATCACTAAAGTCACTAACAGTGGCGGATTTGTCCGGATTGCTGTCCAGGTCATCCATATTAACGAACACACCTTCTTCACTGAAGGCGTCCGAGTCGGGAGACTCGTAACTGTTACCCTTGACGGGCTTCTTCTCCACTGTCTGCACCAACTCACTCTCCATGACTTGTTCAACTTGCTCCAGAATGTTCGTATTCACTTCATTCCCTTTGTTCTCTACCTCTTCTCTGCTTTCAATTTCTTCATCTCCTTTGTTCTCTTCCCTTACCTCTTCTTCATTTTCTTCAACCTGCTCCGTGTCGTCCAGGTCTGAGGAGCTGAGGTCTAGGTCACTTCTGGGAAAGAATGTCTTCCCCTTGCTCCCGAACGGTTTCGGAAAGAGATTTGTGGCTTGGGAGTCTGTGCTGGTGTCCGTCTCCTCCTCGTCATCGATGTCCCTCAGCAACCCCACGTCCTCCCCGTCCGGTACGCGGGAGACCAAATTGACACGACGAAGCGGACAGCCGCCGCCGTCATCGCAGGACACCAAGTCCCCGCCTCCACGGTCCATCTCTGGCGACAGGTGGTCTGGGTTCAACACCAAACTACGAGATTCTGGACGTATTAAGTCCCCGTCGACACTACTTCCCAGGTCAGGGTCACGGTGATGGTCCATAGACTCGTTAGGTGGAGTGTGGAGCAGCGCGCTGAGGCGGGAGGCGACCTTAGCCGCCGGTGACAGAAGTCCGCCTGTGGGGAATACGGAGCCAGGTGACAACGACGACGATGAATGCGGCGACGAGGTCTGCTGCTGCTGTTGTCGAGCCGTGTCTGCAGTTGGGGTGGTGGTCTCGGAAGGGGAAGAAGATGGGTCGTGGGGGTGAGGGAGGGGCTGGGGGAAGAAGGGCGTCGTGGCGGAAGACGACGGCAAATAAAACGGTGACGACGGGATATCCGAGGAGTGACCGAAAAGTAGCGGGTCCGTGTGGTCTAGGTGGGAGTGTGTGTTGTGGTAGTTATAGTGTGTAGCGGTGGGGTGAACACAGCACGATCCGTTCACGCCCTCACAGCGCGGCACCGAAGTGCCAGAAGGAAGAGCAAAATGTTGAGCACACTTGGCGGGGGAATGATGATCTCGTGGCACCCCAAACAACAAACGCCTCTCTTCCTCTTCGGCACTGGCAGCGCGCTCTAACTCCTGCTCGCGTCGGATGCTACGATCTATTTTGGGATTGTGCACGAACCTGGCGCTTACGCTGTACCTGTCCAGGTAGCTCTCTTGCACGTACGACAGGTTCCGCGGCAGCGACACGATAGCGTGCTCCTCCGCTTCGGGGTCAACCGGGTCATTGCACGAGCACGGGCAAAAATACATAATCAGCAGGCGGGAGCCTAGTAGGGCGAGACATGCACTCGCGGGCCGAGACAAGAGCGAGAACCTGAGGGGGTTCCGTTCTTATGCTTCTTCTTCTTCCCAATAACAACAACAACAACAACAGCAACAACAACTACGACGAAGACAATGACGACAACAACAATCTACAGATGACGTCAGACGAGGGACGAAAGGTCAGCGAGTACACAGAGAAACTGTGACGACTACACACAACACGTCAACAACAACGACAAAGACAACAACAACAACAACAACACAAGACCTGTTGTATGGGTTGAAGTGGCCTCTCGAGTATGACGTATGCTCCTGGGGCAACAAGACCGTCTCCTTTTTTTACTCAGATACAGCAAATCCGTATAGACTTTGTTGCAGCTTTATCCCCGGCGCAATCTATCTCTCCTTATATTTTAATGTCTCCGTTATCGTTGCTGGCAGGGGTCTGGTCCTCTAGCAGACGTCCGAGTTTCCTCTCACCACAAAGGACGAAGATTCCTCGTACAAATTCACAGCGCAAGAAACTTGGGCGTTGACCGTCTTACAGGGCAACCTATCTTATCCAAGCTTGTCATCACCTGGAACAAGACAAGAAAAGTAAAACATGCTGTGAACTGGGTCGTCAAACGATGATAGAGATACGTGGATTATGAATAGCACATGAACTAGGGTAAGTCGTGAAGTGTAATGGTGGGTGGTAGAGAGAAAGAGAGAGAAAGAAAGAAAGAAAGAAAGAAAGGAGAGAGAGAGAGAGAGAGAGAGAGAGAGAGAGAGGGAGAGAGAGAGAAAGAGAGAGAGAGAGAGAGAAAGAGAGAGAGAGAGAGAGTGAGAAAGAGAGAGAGACGGATAGACAGACAGACATACAGACAAACAGGGAGAGAGGGGGGGGGGGAGGGAGGGAAGACAGAGAGGGAGAGAAAGGGAGCGGGCGGAGGTGGGGATAGTCACTCCCTTTGAAATTGATCTCATTGTGTTCTGGTTTTTGTTAGAAAGAGGATAATAAATTCAACCCGTAGGCCGTTAGTGAATACCCAGTGTCCTGTTGTCGTCATTCCTTTTGTGGCAGAACAGCACGTTGTAAACTTACGAAGTCCTGATAGCTAAATCATTGAATCGTTGAGTAAAGCAGGACAATGGTGTCTAGGACAGGGATACCGGTGGACAGGAAAAGGGTAGAGATGTTTTTGGATTTTCAACAATAAGACACAGAATCTAATGACAGCAGGCTGTGAGTGTAAGTTTTAAAAAAATAGGCAGAGAAGGAGGAGGGGGAAGAGGAGGAGGAGGAAAAGAAGGATGACGACAACGACGACGACGAAATAAGACAAGGACAAGGAGGACGAGAAAATAAGACAAGGAGAAGGAGGACGAGGGCGAGTGCGAAGAGGCGAGGAAAGATAATGGCATAGGAAAGTAAGTGACACAACGCTCCTACCACGGAGAAGAAGCGGTCGTGCACGTCACAGTACATACAGCAGTGACAGACGCTGGCCACAGTACCGTGACCGTTCTACACACACTAAAAATAGCTGAGTGTGCGGAACACGGCACAATACTGTTTGGCAAGAGAGCTTCTACGTTACTATACAGACTCTTGTTTGGCTCTCTTGGCTTCTTTCAGTGCCAGGAAGAAGATTCGTTCGGCCGGTTAAGTTATAGAAGGCAGTGGTACGTACGTGCCAACCGGACACATAGTACAGAGTAAAAGAATATTTGAAGCTCTCCCCTGAGGGGAAAACAAGAAAAGGCCCGAAAGTAGTAAACAGAAATAGGCCTCAGCATATTGGACTGAGCTTACAAAAACACACACACACAAACACACAAAAGCAAAACAAAAACAAACCACCAAACAACAAGAACTTAAAAAAAGCCAGTCCCTAAATCTTATCTGAGGCGCAGAGTAAACGATTATCACACGCCGAGATAAGCTCTGATGTTTTAAATAGCATAGTCAGCACTTTTTGAGTCAAGCAGTGAAGCAAACCGACAAGGGTGAAAATACATCGTAAGTGCAAGTTGACCATCTTAGCGGCCGGTCAGCAGAAAAAAAAGAAAAAGAAACAGGAAAGGGGGATAGGGAGAGAGGAATCAGAGAAAGTGTGAG